AAAGCTTAAATCCAGCATTTATCCTGATAGCTTTGTTTCCCCCTGTACAGTAGCACCTTCAGCATTGAGGAGTGGTGCACTGAGGATACATTACAGACACTGAGGAAACAGAAGTTAAATTTAGAACTTGTGCTGATAAGTGCTGTGGTTATGAAAGCTAGCACAGGATCCTGCAGAGCAGGGAGGATGCATTTCTCCAGATGCTTTCTCTCCCTCTTCGGTTTTGCATCCTCCCATGGCTGCTGAATTGAGCAGTGACCTAGTGAAACCTTTAGCTGCCACTTAGCGGAACAAAGTCACTGTCGCTTCAGTCTCCCTTCCTCAGCCAGGGCTCAGACACAAGAAGGGCTGTGCAGCCTTTCTCTAAAGACAAAGCACTTCTCACGTCTATCAGTGCAGTGAAAGCTTTCCCATTCACACTTACGTTAGCATTCTTATCCTTGCAAGGTTAAAGTTCACCACTTTCCCAAGACGTTCCTCCATGGACTGTTCTCGGCTTAAAAATGCAGAACAATCCTTCTTTGGATGCAGCTGTTGAGCATTTGTGTCCTTGCAGAGTGGAGGGGAATGCTCTGAACTCCCCCACAGGCTCCCTGCACTGAGTTGTGAGCGTTATCTCATGTCTGCACCCCCTTCCTCAGAGCCAGCCAGTCCTGTTACAAAACGAGCACTGTGTACACAATAAAATTTGTCCTTTTGTACGAGATTTTCCATTGCAAATATTGATCCGACCACCACCCAATGCTCGCTTGTTTAGGCTGGGTCTGAGATTGAACAATCACCAAAATGCTGAGTGTGCCAGGAGGATTTTCAGCTCGGTGTCAGAGTGGAGTACTACAAGCCCCCCACGATGACTGGGGAAGTTGAGGGGTGAGGTGCGACTTCTCCAGTCATACCTTTGCTCCACGAAGCCACTGATTTATTCAAGAGTTTAGCCTGGGCTGCTTGAACAATCCAAGTGTGTAATCCGACACGCAGGAAATTTCATTCAAGTTCAGGCTGGAATGTCGTGGGCTGTGCTGTGTGTCCATTTACCCTGAGGCAGAGGCAAATGCCTGCGTTTCAGTCAAAGACAATTTCAAAGCACCACTTTCGCAGCTGTAGCTCATTCAGCATTGCACCCATTAACACTCTGGTTACTTGATTTGGTGTTCGATGGAATTTTGGTATGGGCAGCAAAGCTGGGATACGAGTGCTGGTTTAAGCTTCCAAATCTGGTTAACAATGGCTCTTTTAGATCTGGTAAGTAAAATTCCTCCTGCTTTCAAACATCCTCTTAGGGTATCTGTTCCCACTTCACCTCTGCCCCCAGCTGTTTTTGTACCCTCAGTCCTCAGGATGATATGTGGAATCCCTGGTTATAAACTCGAAGCTCTGCTCCAAGCTGAGTTCTGTTGCCTGGTGATTTTGGATGATACTGTCTTTCTCCATAGAAATTTCAGGGATGTCAACTCTGATTTCTGCTGATTTTGCTGGGAGTACACCGTGATTTCTGTTAGAGTTTTCTATCTAAAAGCGAAATTTAGTCTGTATTTTCAGTCAGAATAGAACAACGCAGTAAAATTGCCTTTGGGCCAATGTATGGGACAGAATGGCTGCAGCCACATGTCACCCAGCAGTGATAGGCTGCAAATGTGCTCTTAATGGTGCCCCTGCAGCTTTGTGCCAGATCAGGTGTCAGCCGTCCTTTAGCAGCTGGCAGAAGGACAAGTTGAGCCCTGTACCCCGTGGAACTGGCTAATTTGATCGAAATATGATTATCCAGCTATTCTAGAAACAGGCAAATTTGCACCTTGCAGGATCCAGGAGTGCACAAATCTGCGGATAACTGTGGCTCTGAGCAAAATGTGAGCTGGCTGCTGAATTTGGGTAATTGCTAACAAAGGATAGATGATGGCTAACAGTTTGAGTAGTTCTTTGCCCTCTCAAGTGAATGCAGCATTGGCATTTTGTTAATAACATAATCACAGGCAGGACACTAATTCCTCTCCCAGAATCTCATTCTCCATACAAGCATTCTTCCCCTACAAAATCCAGCCCATCAGCCCTTGTGGTCCCTCAGCAGCCAAAGTTGTGATGCAGATAAGACTCAGCATCACAACTTTGTTTCCTGTCTTGCTCACTAGCTCTGAGTGGAGTTCCTGTGTAAGGACATGGGAAGTACTGGTATTTGTGTGGCTGCTGACTCCTCTTGTGTCCAATGCCCCAGCCCTGCAAACTGGAGAACAAGAAAACCAGGGGAAAGAGAGGGTGCTGAGCAGTCCAAGCTGCAGTTCAGGCCTCTACAGTTTGTCCTGTCCCTTGCAGAGTTATTCCCACTCCATACGGGAGGTGAGCAGTGACTTTTCATACCATGTTTGGATAGCACTGATGTAGAGTCCCCTGTACTGCACAGTTGAGCCACAGCACAGTGATACTGCCAGGAGGTTCTGTGGTACCCCAGAGGGTGTGAGTTACCCACCAGTGACACAGCACAGCCACAGCACAGTGATACTGCCAGGAGGTTCTGTGGTACCCCAGAGGGTGTGAGTTACCCACCAGTGACACAGCACAGCCACAGCACAGTGATACTGCCAGGAGGTTCTGTGGTACCCCAGAGGGTGTGAGTTACCCACCAGTGACACAGCACAGCCACAGCACAGTGATACTGCCAGCAGGTTCTGTGGTACCCCAGAGGGTGTGAGTTACCCACCAGAGCTGAGCTGGGTGTTCCTCAATGCCCACCCCAGGCTCCTGTCAGACACCCACCTGGTGCTTGGCTGAAATGATCTCCTCTTGGATCCATGTGCTTCCACTTCAGCTGCATTCAGTAATCAGTGAGGGATGAGCTGCAACTGGGAGAAAATTACCTCTGGAGAGGAGGCTCAGACCATGAGTTCAGCCCTTGAGACAGGAAGGAAGCCAAGGTAAGAGTTTCCACTGTTTATGCCCATGATCTGTTACCACTCTGGCTGATGTGTGCTGGGCTTGTTCACACTACAGAGCTCAAGCCAGGGGTCCTGGGGGAGGTGGCAAACACTTCAAACCTTGATCAGTCACTGTGCTCCTGCTGTTGCTACATGCCCACCTGGGAAGAGGTTGATTTCTTCCTCTTAGTTGCCTGGTTGTTGGAAATGCTGGAAGCTGGTTGGCTCTGTGGATCACTGAGCTTGGCAGGAGGCCTGGCTGTGTTGGCTGTCCAAGAGCTGGGTCTCTTGGATCTCTGTTTCTAGTCTGATACTACTTTGTTGTTGCTACTGGCTTGTGGGCTCTTAATATGCAGAAATCTGTTCTATGCAGAGATGGACCTCGCCCTACACTTGCAGACATTTCCTAATTACATGTGGTTGTCATTGGTTAAATGTTATTTCATACAGGTTTTCCTGTTCCTCTCCTTAATTGGTAGTAAATGGTAAAAGAAAACAATACACATTTTGACTTTAGTATAAGAATGCCACTGGAAAGAGCCCATTTCAGTTTCCCACCTTAGCTGAAAATTGAATAATAACTTGATTGTGTCAGTTTTATTGCCCAAATGTTACCAAACTGGAGAGGAAATGTTAATAAGGGCAATGTTATTAAGGCAGTAACCTACAACTGACCTTCCTGCTTTTCCTACTGATGGGGGTGGTAGATGGATGACACCTAAAATGTGGCTGTTCTCAGAGGGTGTGGGTATTCCTTGATATCTCTGTTCTATTTGTGACAAGTGCTGCCATGCAGATAGGGCAAACTGAAGCATTTGGCTGATAAGTAGTTCCAAGCCATATCTAAACAATGTGAAGCAGAGGATTCATGAGAAAACACTGCTGCTGCTTTTTCATTTCCTGAATAGTCTGGAGTTAGCATGTGGAACCCAAATGCTGTGACACTGGGGAGATTTTGAAATACCTATAGCCTCTTGCCATTCAACAGTGTTTACTTGACAGAAAAAGAGATTGGTAGAAAGGAAATAGGTATCTTGACTTTAACAACAAAAGTATGGAATGATTTGATATGAGAGAAACAGCAGGCACCATTCCACCAGCTGTCCATTGGTGATGCAGACCATGTGGTCCATGGAAGCAAAGATGATCTGCAGTTGGATCTCAGGGCAATCAAGAGCAGGCCCTGCAGTGCCTTGTGTGAAGTTGGGCCCCCAGGGAAATGAGCAGTCCTGCAAAATCTCTGTGTCCCACATCAGTAGGGAAGGTGCATCTCAGTGGGTTTGGGCTTTTGGTTTTTTTTTTTCTGTTTAATTAAGATAATCTGCAAAATATCTATCTAAATTTATTTATTTATTGGCTCATTACAGTATTCTTTGTGGAAGATTGAGTGTTCAAGAAGTGAATACATGAAATCTCTTGTGCTTTTGGTTTCCTCTCCTGCTGTAGCTAAGAAGGGATGCTGTGGTTGTTGGGCAGCCTGCACGAGTGCTGTCCTTTGTGTCACCTGAGGTGTGTCACAGAGGCCTCTCCTTCCCCTTCTGCCTGGGCAGTGCTGCTGCTCTCACTCTGCTGCCTTCAGTGCCATCCCAGCCCCTGAGCCTGGGCTGGTGCCAGGGGCTCAGGGCCCTCCAGCCCTGCTGTGGATGTGCTGGGGGAACTGGGGAGAAGGACAAGGACCTGTGCAAAGCACTGCAGGCAGCCAAAGGGAAAGGGCCTGGAACTTCTGTTCCATCCTTGAAGGCAGAATTCAAATAAGATACTGCATGTACCTCTGACCTTCACTGTGTTTCATTTCAGAAAAGATTGCATTGACCATTACACCTTTTCCTTTTGTCCTGATTTCTCTTGTCCTTTCTGTGTGTCTGAGCTAACAGTCCCTCTCTCCTCCATGCCTTTCAGGTAGCAATAGGATTCATTTTCATTGTCAGTTTTAAGGCCTGAAACCTTGGCAAATGGTCATTCTGACCCCAGAAATAGTTTGCTCTGATTCAAATTAAATCACCAGGTTTAAAATTTTTTAAACTATCTTGAAATACTGAAGAATGGCAGAAACTATCCACCAATCCCTTGTACGGTACACTAACAGTTGGAAACATTCTTAAATATTAAACTAGAAAGACTGATAGAGCTGAAATCTGTGAAATACAGTGAACCTGCACAGTGCAACACCTCTGAAGAGGTTTTGTTGCAGAATGAGCACATTAGAGGGGGCTGGAAAGGGCCCAGGGTGTCCCTGTGGCAGCAATCACAGAGGTGCAGAGGCTGAGGCAGCCCAGGGAGCCAGAGCAGCCTGGGCAGGAGGGGCTGAGCAGTGGAAGGGAGGGGAGGCTGCCCTGCTGACATTGCAGGGGAGGTGATTGGCAATTCTCTGGGGCTCACAGGAGAGGAATCAGGGCAGTGCAGCACTGCTGGAGGCTTGGCTTAGCTGCTGTTTGTGTTGTTGGATTTTTAAACTTCATAATCCCAGAGAGGTGTTAGGGAAACCTTCCAGCCAAGGAAAAAGCAAGCCTTGGGCCCATCATCTGTCCCAGAATGCAGAGCAAAGCAGAGCCCATGGCTAGCATGAATTCCATTGTGTTGGGAGATGGTTGTGATGGGGAGTGCATCAAGTTTTCCTACAAGGGATGTGTCCTGGTCCTTCAGGTGCTCCTCTCTGGGTGCATTTGCTGTTTTTTGTATTTTCATCCGTGACTGATAAACCATCCTCTGTCAAAAATGCCAGCATGGCCTGTGCATGGGGAGAAAGGGATCCATGGCAGAGAATGTGGCTGTCATGACCATAAGGGTGGCTCCAGGCTGGCTGGGGACAGTTCTCCAGCCTGCAGAAACTGCACTTGCTTCTGTGATCTTTCCCTTTGCACAGCTGAGATCTGGGTGGGATTTTCCTCCCAGGATCACCAAGCTTTGAAACACTGCTGGCAGCACAGTGTGCTGAGTGACTGTGCCAAAACATGCAAGTCCTAATCTCTCAGGAGGTTTTCCAGATAGTGTAGGCCAGGAGAATAATGGCATGAAGCAGGAGCAAGGGAGAGAAAAGCATGGTCAGTTGGTTATTTCCTGACTGGTGGTTGTAGAAAACATTATTATTGGGATGCTCTTGAAGGTCCTGAAGCAGACCTTGTGTGCTGATTGTTTTCAGTAATAGAATATTTGTAAAGTCTGAGGACTGGGGCTCCTTTTCATCAAAGCTTTTCAAGGTAGGAGCCTGGCACGAAGCCCCTCTGGCCGTTCCTTTCTGCTGTCCACCAGCCGTCGTCGTTCTCCGCGATCACAACCACGGTGTCCCCCTCACTGATGTCCAGCTCATCCGTGTTCTGAAAGGAGACAGGGAGACAAATGGGACAGCCTGACAGCACAGGGGGGGCCAAGAAGTGTCTGGTGGGGTTTTTTAACTCCTGCTCTTCATCAACAGTGCTGGTTCTGAAACACCACACAGTGAGGGATTAAGCATTTTGGCTTTTTCTTTAAGATGCTCAGATTTCCCCAGCCTCCAGGGTCCCTCCTCCTGCACAAACTGATGGTTTTATCACTGGGGAAGTCCAGAAAGGGTTAAACACCACTCTCCTAAAGCAGCTCACCATGACCTGCATAGTCTGCAGGTGTTGCTAAATAGAGCACAGCTTAATTCCTAAGGGGGGTAACAGTGCCTCTGCTAATCCCTGCCTGAAATAGGTCTGTCAGTTCTTTTAGCAGGGGACAGCAGTGACCAGTGGGGGACAGTGACTCTTGGACAGCAGTGACTTTCATCCCCAGACAAATGCAGTAGTTGCAAATAAGCTCTCCCTGCTCTCCCAGGCAGCCATCAGTGTTCAGTGGTGCTGTCCTATTTTCCATAGGAAACCACTTTGCTGCCTACAGTGTAGAAAATAGAAAACAGCATAAGGGAGGCTTCCAGAGATGTTTGAGGTGTCAGCTAAAACTGAATTTAATGCACCTGAGTCGGTAAGAATGGACTCAAAAAATGAGAGGCCTCAGTGTACAATATACTAAAGGCAGTAACAGGCTCTTTTCTCAGCAGGGAATATCCCTGTGTGGCACAGTTTTAAGGGACTCCTGGAGAAATGAGGTGATCCAGTAGTCTCCTTAGGGGAACTGCCATTAGCAGTTGAGGTGCTTTCAACTATGCTTGCATGAAATTTCATGTAAATAATAAAAGAAAGTTTAAAATTAAGCAAAAAAACCCCAAACAACCCAACATCTAATAAAAGGTGTTGGAATACTGCTGTACCTAAGGGAAAGTGCTCCTTCTGAGCTTTTTCTCTGTTTTCATAATTTATCTGGCATTTATCTATTTTGTCACTGTCACATTTCTTCAATGTTGGCTGCTGGTGGCAGATCCCTTGGTGTGAGGCTTTCTGCACTGAGACATAAAACATCCTGGATGCTGTTTCTTTTGCTGATCTAAAGCCAATAAAAGGAACCTTTAAACTGACATGTAAAACAGGAGGGGCTGGAGTCCAGGTTCTGGAGTCCATCTGAATTAACAAATATTTATAACCAGTCCATTCACAACCTTTTACTAATGGTATTCTGCCTAGTTAGGACTGGAGTCAGGGAGAGTTCAATATCCCAGTTCAGGATGTAGATTGTTCTCTTTAAGCTGGCAGATGAACCACATCCACTGTGATTCTGCAGCTTGCAACATGGAAGTACAGGAAGGAATATCCCTTATGGGATTCTGCCCTCTCCAGCATGGAGAACCAGTGTGCTAAACTGGAGCAGGACAGACCATGTCCTTGGCTGTAAGATGACAGCAATATCTCCTTCACAGAATTTACACTTCCAGGATGTTTCAATCAGCATCACTTATTTTAAATGTGACTCTCTGAAGTGTTTATTTTGAGGCCTTTTTTACCTGGGCTGTGTAGTCATAAAGCACTCTGTAGTCCTGTGATGATGTGATCTCAGCTTTTTCATTTACAAAGATGGATGCATAGACTCCTTCTGTTCTCTCTGCAAAGGAGGGGGGGAATAAGAAAGAAATACCCAGCACAGAAACAAAGAGTTCAGTTGCTTACAAAAGCATGGGATCATATGCAAGACTTCACAAATACAAGGCTTTCTGTTCTCTCCCTGCCTGGAGATGCACACATATAGAAAAGCTGCTGTGAGCTGTAGGTAAATCTTGCACAAAAACTGTCCCCCATTGATGGGATGACAATACACCCATTGAACTTTGTGGGAGGTCAGAAACTAGCTTCAGCCTCAGGTTGGGAAAAGGTTTCCCCTGGTAAAACACAATCCAAGTCATCCAAGGAGGGGAAACACTGATTAAAATGGTTTAACAAGTTGCTACTGGGGGTATAAAATTCTAGCAGTTCCCTGGCTCACATAAGACTTTCTTTTTCCCCTTGAGAAAAATGGAAAACACTGAGCCAATGGGTCACCAGACATTTTCCAGGGGGGTTTTGCAGTTCTCACGTAGCTATTTGTCACGGACATCACTTTTTTTTTGCAGATGTTTTGTTTTAATTCAGCTTGTTGTAATTAGGGAAACTTCTCATTTCTTCCCAGCATCTGTCTGGGAGCTTCCCCTGCTGAGCACCAAGAGAGAGTCTGGGCTGTGCTTCTGGGTGCCCAAGCAGGCAGGGCTGGCAGAGGCAGTTGATTTTAAAGCTGTTTGAAAACAACTTTTTCTTTTGGTAAGAACTACAGTTAAAATGCTTTTGTTTAATATCAAATCAATAAAAATGTCATAAACTGTTCCCTTTTACATAGTCAAAATACTGTGTTTTAAATATCATCTGATAAATTCCTAGTTATAAGGATTACAAGACAGCAGTGTAACTGTGAGGTGAGATGGATATTTGTATTCATAAGCCATGTGCCTGGTGTGTTAAAAATTGTATGTATTCTGTGGGGCTTTTTAGTGGTAGTTATGGTACACAAGGAGAAAACTAATAGCTATGTCAGACTGCTGCTCTGAATGTACAGGTTCCCCCTGCCTAGATGGAAGTTTTGAAGACTCTGTGGATTATTTGGCACTTTAAACTGGGAAATTTGTTAATACACATCCAAGCAAAATTAATTTCCAGACTACTCTTGCCTGCCAACATGTGAATATCTGCTGTAGACTTCTGCTCCATGTCAAAGCCTGGTTTAGCAACACAATCTAAAACAAACACATCTGGTAAACTGATTTCCTGCAGAGCATACCCAGAGGAGGGGCTGAAGGAGTGGCAGTTTCTGTGTTGTTTTTGCTGCTCCCATGCAGTAGTCCAGAGAATCTGCAGAACCAAGAGAAGCCAAAACCAAAATGAGTGAACAGGCCTGGGTATGAGCATTCCTTCATCTCAGCTCTGACTCAGCCTTCCCTCCATCTGCTTCACAGAGTAGATGTCATCTCTTCCCATGGCCTTCTATTTTCTTTTATGCTATAGATATATTTATCTTCCTTTAAAAATGTGTTTTTAAAAATGCAGCAGACTATTGAACCATCAGCCTTCACTAAATTGTGCATGAAATGCAGCAGATAATATTTTTTTGTAGAGCCAAAGGCTCATGGTGTGAAACTCCAATTATTCCACAATGTTAAAATGATGAAAATTGTCAGTTGCTTATAAGAGATTAACATCTCTTTGTGTTTGAGGAAGACCCTGATACAATTTAAAATACAGAGCTTGTGTAACAAGCCTTTCTAAAAGCTGTGAGTTTAAGTGAATTTTTATTTTAATCTATCCCTAGTTATTTCCTATATCACAGCTGGGTATTGAGGACTAAGCAAAGTGAGAAAATGGGTTAGGATTCTCAAGCAGAGATGGAAATAGCATTGCATGCTTAAGGCATATTTAAAGGGTCTGATTTTTCAGCTAGTGAACATTCAGTTTTTCTGGAAAATGGATTTCCTCTCTCAAGAGTTCCTGAAAGACTCAGGCTGAGTCTCTCCAGGCTCCTTGCCCATGCTGCTCACAGTTGTGCTCTGAATGGCAGGACAATTGTCTTATGTAACTGCACAGGATGCAGCACTGAATTCATTATTAGAGAAGATCCAGTTTCCAACTGAAAAACAAAGCCCTGTGTACAACCCTGAGCAGCTCCCTGGCAAGCCTGGACCACATTCCAAATGGGAGATCACTGCCTGCTCCTTGTCCTTGCCATGTCATAGGGCTTGTTAAATTTTAAATCTCTCCTGCTTTAACTGTGATGCCCTCCCCACTGTGAATTTGCCATTTTAGTATAAAATATTTAAACCAATAGAGGCACCATGCTCTTCTGCTGTTATGACTGCATCCATGTTCTAACATTTACCAGAGGAAAGGGATCAGAATGAGGAAAATTGCCTCCCTGATCATCACAGTTTTTCCATCCTGTGTTTTCCCCCTTGTATCCTGACAGAGCAGCTCTTTGTTCTGCTCAGCTGAGTGGTGCTGTAAGCATGGAGGAATGGCCCCAAAGGAAAGCTCTTCCAGCCTCTGCTCCCAGCCACATTCACCTTCACCCTCCCTGGAACAAACTGGTTTTGTTGCCCTGTGCCCTGACTCAGTAGCAAAGAGGAAACTCTGGCTGCTCCCTCATGCTGGCCCAGTAATTGTGGGATGAACTCATCCCCTGTCCCTCCTCCCACTGGAGGGATGCCAAGATCACTCCCACTGCATTTCAGTACCTTCACTTCTTGTCTCAAGTCACACTCACTGCTGCCTCTTGCTACTCTGGGGGAAGCAATGGCTTCCCAGTGGTGTTCAGTGCCCAGGCAGGGCTGCTGCTGTGGGAAGGGACCTCTGGCCTCACCTCTTGATCATGCCACAGGCCGGGCTGGGGCTGCAGCTGCGCTCCCGGCTGTAGTAGCTCTCGTAGCCTATGGCATCTGCACAGGGCAAGAAAAGCAAAGTGTTCAAACAGGAACCACTGAGAAAACTCTGTTTGCTCCCTGCCACAATGTGCCCTGGGGCTGCTGGAGCAAACTCAGGGCAGCACCTGCCTGTCCTCACCTGGGTTATAGATGGATAATGAGATGATTGGCTCTTGCAATTAAGGGCTAACTATTGTGTGAATATTAGGAGAAGCTTTAGTGATGTATGGTTATGTTATTGTAGTTTAGATGTCCTCTGTTCTCCCCATAGTTCCCTTTCCCCCCTGTACTGTTGCCATCAGACAGCCAGGGCTGTCTAGCATAGGTAAAGGAAGGCTGCACAGGTGTCCCTTGCATGGGGCAGGTGGGAATGGAAAAGCCTGGGGGTGCTTAGGGGGTGGGCATGGCAACCTCTGACCTCCAACCCAGTTACAAAGCAGTCTCCACTGATAAATGGCACAGAAGAGCTGACAGACAGACTTTGGAGGGGCCAGGGCTGGCTGATGCCACCCCCAAGGGTATAAAAGACTGAGCACCCATCTTGAAGATGAGCTGGCTGCATGGTATGCATGAGGGGCAGTTCCCAGCACTGCAGCTTTTTCCTAATGTAGTCCTTTGTTGTCTTTTTGTTAAGTTTAATAAACCTCTTTAAATTTTTAAAGTGAGCAGTTGTCTGTCACACCTGGAATGAGGCCGGAGCAGCTCAGGGGAGCCTGGGGGCTGGACAGAAGCCATTCCAGTGGCTGTGAACAGCCATGGCCCTGGTGGCCAGGCACCCAAGGCCCATTTCAGGAGCTGTGACTGCCCTAATGAGGAAGGCAGTTTCCTCCATGGCTGTTTCTTCTGTGGCCTCAAAGCTCAGGATTTAAGGGGGCAGAGTATGGTCACTGAGTGCCCTAAACCGTGTTCATGACAGAATTTGCTGCAGTGCATTTTGTTTCTTCTTTCCTCAGTCAGGAATTTTTCCCAGAGCTGGGGATGTTTCTGAGTGTTATTGCCTGCAGCAATAACGAGCAATTTCCTGGTGTTTGCTTGTGTGTTTCCCCACCTTTCATACCTCCCCCATCCGCCTCCTGAGAGCTTATTTGCTGTTTACCCAGAGATATTTGGGTTTTGTTCTCTCAAACACATTTAGATTGCAGTTCCTTCGCTCTCCCCTATGGTGTCGTTAAGGGTGAAATTCAGACCGTTTCCAAGTGTAACTTTACAGATGAAATAGTTACAGATGGATTTATTTGTCAGCTCAGAGCTCCCAGTGCAGTCTCACAGCTGGTGGCCACACAGCCTGAGCCAGTGAGAGCCAAGCAAACACGAGTGAAGCCTGTGATAGTGTTTTATCTCAGCCCTGATAGCAGCACCTTAACAAAGACATTAGACTGGGGCTAAAGGTCCTGTTGACATTCTCACACTGTGTCAGCCAGGATACTGAGCAGAGCAGGCACCCAGAGCTAGAGAGTGTGAAGAATCCCTACAAATAAAACTCACAGTAATTAGGGAGTTTTCTGACCAATTTAAGGGTCTCCTGTTGCCCTTCTGCATTGTCACTTTGGTGCAATTTCCAGTCTAGAGGGCATTGTAAGATTGGGTAGGAAAGGAAGGGAGCAAGACCATCAGGAAGGTTTGGTCAGGATGAAGGTCTGCTGCCACACAATGCAAAATGACACCTGGGTTTCCTCCTGCCTTTTGCAAATAATAGCACAGATCAACAGCTCACCACGTGCTACAGTGCACACTCATTAGCCAGAGCTGTGGAGAAATTAGGATATTGCTTCCAGAACATTTTCTGTAATTTTCTAGAAGGTGACAAAAATAAACAACAAAAAACCAAGTCAGGTTTTTCTTTGCCTTTCATAAAGCTCTCAAGGGTTTTTTCCACCTACTTCTTACTAGAAATGACTCTGACATGGCCAAGAGCTTTTTGTAGAAATTTCCTAGGTGACTGAAGAATGACAAATCTTAAATAGAAAAAATCCCCAAAAACCTAAACCAAGAAACACCAGCTAAGAATTACACATTTCTTAGTATACAGAAGTGGTTTTACACTGTTGCAAGGCACAGTTCTCCTTTCCACCACTGAAAATGTAATTTTTCCTGGATAAATTCTCCTTTTCAGTGAATTTAAATCCTCTATGTGAAGAAGAATAAACTATAGCAGCAAAATGGCATCCAGTGCACCAATATCAATATACTAGTTTAAAAAAATTCCCAAAATCCCAATTTTTAGCCACCGTAAGAGTAATGGCAAAAAGGCTGAGTGAAAAGCAGGCCTCAGATAGCTCAGTGCTGAGTTAGTGGCAGCACCCAGCTCTGCTGAAGAAGAGCCTGGGGTGCAATTCCTGCCAGCTTTGAGCTCTGCAGTGAAATCAAAGGGGTGGAACTTGTTCTTGTAGGAGATAATTATCCCCAGGGATCAGGCCCTGATTTTGTACCTGTACAACTCCTAGCATGAAGGGTTTTATGTAACTCTCTTGTGTTGTCTGTTGAAGTGCAGGTGTGGTTTGTGTCTGGCCATGTGACACATCAGACAACTCCTTTCCTGCAGGGTGTTGGGAGAACTCCTACCCTGGAGCAGCAGGTTTTCATTCTCCACCTGCTCTTGCCTCATGCTGGGTCAATCTCCATTTCAGACCAGAGGTTTTGAGCACTGAAGTCAAGGAAAAAGCAGCTTTGGCTTGAATGGCCAGAGCCTGTGAGCCTGACAGCAGTTCCCTGTGCTGGGACAAAGCCAATTTCATTCAGAATTTCTCCCAGCCAAAGTCTTGGCTTATGCAAACTTCCAGAGAGCAGAAGATTTGTTATTCCCCATTGGGCATGTGGAACAGAATAGAAAACTTCTCTGTGCTGTAAATGAGGAGGCAGCACCTCTGCCAAGGGGACACTGGGGTGCAGTTACTGGTGAGGTGGCTCTGTCTTGTCACACTGCAGGAAGTTGAAGTTGCCATTTCTGCAAGGCAATTTGCCACCTCCTTAGCAGTGTCAATTCAGCTGTACTGTGAAATGAGCCTGGCTCCAAAGCCAAAACAAGTTTTTTCTTCCTTGGAGGGTTATTTTTAATCTGGATCATTCTGCTATCCCACTTAGAGCATCACTCAGGCAGCGATGGCAGCACGGTGTGGGGGAAGTGAGCTATGGCAGGTGGGAATGAAAAGTTGGAGCAGGAATTCCTCCAGCTGGTTTCACCTCCAAAGGATGTGTACTGCACAAGCCATCTGACAAGAGCAGTAGGAATAATTACCTGGAGGTTGTGTTCCTGTCATTTTTGTCTTAATGAAGTAGTCTATGTCTGACTCTACAACACAGTTCTCCAAGCTGACCCGAACATCTTCATACATCTACAAAACAGAATCCAAGAGTTCAATTTAACTTTTAACATTTCACATTGAATTAATAAACAACGCTATTGTAGTAATTGTCCCCTTAAGAAACACTTTATACTCGGTAGATGTCTGACCTGGCTGCTCTTCAGCCTGCCCCCTGTACCAATATTCTTGTAAACACACCTATTTGTGCTCTGGATGGTCTTTAAAGAGAGCAGGACAAAGGCAGTCCAGAACTCTTCAATAAAGAAATTAATAGCAGGAAACAGCCATTCAAAGTCAAATCTAGTGTATTCTTTACATCTTCCACTTTTGAAGCCATGACTGGATGCCTTTTTTGAAATTGAGTCAGAGCCCAGGTACACTGAGCAGTGTTTTGGGATCAGGGAGCATTTCCCAGCACACCCAGGAGTGCCACCAAGTGCCACAGCCTGCCTGCATGCAGACATGCATCTGGATGGCATCTGGGAGAGCAGGAGGGAGACATTTCCCTGCAGGGCAGGGTGGGCTGTACCTCGTCATCCTTCACACACTGCAGGGACAGCTGGTTGCAGTGCACCCACAGCGAGTTGCGCAGGATCGTGATGCGGTCGCACTCCTGCAGCTGGAAGACCTAAAAGCAAACAGGAAACGTGATGGAGCTTTGTGGTACTGAGTTCTTGGTTCTGCAGGCTGGGACAGGGCTGGGGATGCAAACCTGTGCTGAGGGCACCATGGTAAAGGATGTTTTTTCAGTTAGTGGAGAAACTACATCTCCTGTTCATGCTCAAAAATTTGTTCTAATTGGTTGCACCAAATTAAAGTTCTATTTTAGAGACAAAAACAAAGCAAGGGAGAGGAGTCCAGATCTGGATTTGACTGGTACCTCTGCTGTTGAGGATTTCAGAGTCAGGGTCCTGTCTGCCCATCACACTGGAATCTGGATGTTTAACAGAGCAGTAGAGTACTGGCATGAAAGGATTGTATTTTTGTTAGAAGTAGAGGCAAAACTCAAAACTATCCACCTCTGCCATCTAAAATGCTGCTGTAAACTTTTCTCTTTTGAAAGTACTTGGGGCTCTCTGGAGTTGACTCTGCATATCAAAGGTTACTTTTGTGGTAAAGAGAAGGCAATTTTCTGTCTTCAGAGTTATTCCCTTCCTTCATCTGTCTGGCTTCCTCATGTTGCTGCACTGCTTAGGGAGAAGGAAGGGGGCAGAGAGAGAAGTGTGAACCGATTTGGGGGAAGAGGCAGATAAGCTCTTTCTTTAAAAACTTGAAAAAAACCAAATCACCCTGATCTCTACGTTATACTGTTAAAAGTAGAACAAAGTTTTGGTTTTCTATGAGGTGTGAAAATCTCAGATGCTTCCAGCCATCTGTCTCCATCTCTATTTGCTAGTAATTATGTCCAGAACACCACAAATGTATACAGCATTCAGCAGAACACTCAGTTGGGTATGCTTCCTGCCATCTAATGACTTACCAACTAAAGAAACCCAGAAAAAGGAATCTGTCAAGGGAGCAAGCTGCTGTGGGGTCTGGTTTCTGAGAGTAAAGGTTTTAAAGAGACTGCAAGGTGGAGGATGAGTATTTGGATGCTCATTCTGAACAGAAAGCCTGTGGCCCTCGAGGCTGCTGAAACAGCACCAGAGCCAACAGGGAATTTTCCAGATAAATGGTGCCCTGTCAGGAAATGCAGTTAATCCAAGGAGGAACTGTAGTGACTCTGGCCTTTCAAGCCCTTGTCAGCACCCAGAAAAGCACAGAAAAGCACAGCTGGGTGCTGTGTTTGACACATCCCTGGTGCTGCTGGAGAACCAGGGCATTCCAGGACAACGTGGCACAGCCCCTGTGACAAAGGCCACCCCAGAGCTGCCACTTGCCTGGCAGCACTTTCAGGCTGTGGTTGTCCAGCACTCAGTTACAGACCCAAGCAACCCCAGCACTTCCAGATTCCTCACTATGCAGCCACAAGTGTAGGATTTTAAGCTGCTTTTTGTACTAATTGCTAGTTTAAAAAAACCCCAAAGAGTATCAGTTCTTCTCTCTACAAGCACTTTTAAAAGAAGGCACTGAAGATGCCCTTGCTTTATGAGTGGCTGTTTGGATTAAGCAGTGGTCACAAGCTCTGTGGGCTGGCCAGAATTTAGCTATATGGGACAAAAAAGAGTGTGAGGTTGTGGAATGCTTCACTGGTTTGTTGGCTTTTTAAGAAGAGAGAAAATATGCATCTTTGGAAGACTAAGGCTTGGCATAATATCTGTGGAAATGTCTGTGCCAGTTGTGGGGCTTTTCAGTCCTCTCAGATAGAGAATATTTAAGAGGAAGCAGAGAACTGGAAATGTATCCTCCTGGCATTTTATTTTATGTGGAAATAAAGCCTGCAACAAGTAAATATAGCAAACTTTAGCAGATGGGCAAATGTACTTGAAGGATTACTGTGATCAAATGATGATTGGCTGATTTGGCTGATTTGGCTGATTTGGATGCCAACCAGTTCCTGTAAATTGTTGTGCAAAACTTAATAGCCAAGTGCAAATCTCCTTGTCCATCCTCAGTAAAATGGAGACAGAGACTTCTCTACCACTGCCTTTCAACTGAAAGATTATTTCATTGCAGAGGACAAATATTCTTTCAGGTGAATTCAAAGTGCTATAAACATAAAGAGTGACTGGGGTATGTACCAGTCCATATATTGCTCCACCTCTCCCACCTCTGCACTTATTCCTCTCCTTTATTTTTACATAGCTGTGCTGACCAAGCAAGGAGAATGTCAGTGATACAGGAGCAGCTATGTCTAAACAAACTCTAGTTTTTGCAGTATTTTTTTTTTACAAAGACCTCTGTTGGAACTCCACATAAAGCAAACAGCAAAACCCTTGGGATGGCATTTCAGGCCTTAGAATGAAATCTTCCAATGGGATAAAATAAAGAGTGTGCAAACACCTCTGCAGAAGTCAATGTTTACCTCACAGGTTTTGATGTGTTCCTGCTCCCACTCTGTCCTGACCTTATCCAGCTGCTCAATGTTCTGCTTGTAAACGTTCTCTGTAAACAGACACAGAACACAAACCCAGCAGTCAGGGAAAAAGTGATACAGCCTTTTTCTCTTTCCTCCTATTGGGCCTTTCCTGTAATTTCCTATACTTCAGGCCTGTGGTTTGCTTGAGTATCACAAGGATATGTGAGCTTGGGACTGGTGGGGCACAATAATTATTGGGTTTTTTCTTTGTAGCTGTATACTAGAGTAAGGATTCTCTCAGTATGGTTTGCAGGTCAGTTATAAACTGTATGGTAGGGATAACACAATTCAGAGAGGAAGAGCCTGGACCTTGCTTGGGCACTGAGCATCCTGAGGCTCTCTGCATTCCCAGCCAGCCAGATGAGCCATGTGATTTGTGGAAGCTGTTCCATGGCGAGGGAGGCACAAGCCAGAGCTCCTGAGCCAGCTCAGGTTGTGCTGGCCTGTCCTGCTGGCCACACACACGTTTGTGGCTGCACATCACTGCTGTGCTCATGCCTGTGGGCATGGGGGATGGGATTTGGGCTCTCTCAGGGCAATTTGAGCTCTACTGTGCTTTCAGACTTGCTTCAAGAAGAGCTTTTCTTCCCTGGGTGGAGTCCCTAAAGGAAGTCTTCTGTAAATTCTTTAATGTAAACAGGACACTGGCATTTCCACAGAGGGGAGTGTCAGTGACTCTCAGGTTGCTGCTCTTTCATTAATATTTGGGCAGGTGACTCTGGGAACCCTGGCAGCCTGGGTGATTTGGATGTGCTCTATCAAAAGCCTGTGCTGGTAGATCTTTGCTGAGAAGACTCAGTTCAGCTGCAAACAGCATCACCTGCTTCATTTGCTGCATCTCTGCATTGCTTGGCTTTGTTCTGGCTCTGAAACAGAAAAAGAAACACCCCAAATTAACTCCTGACATATTTTTCCTTCTGCCCCACTTTGTTGTGCTGCCTGCTCTCTTTTCCCCCCTAGGGGAAAGGCTCTAACTTACAAGAACTTCCTGGCTGTCCCCCCTTCATGCACAGTTCTGCTGAATGGAGAAGGGACCAGGATTTCCCAGGTGCAGCCACAGGTGCAATGACTTCAAGGGAAATCTTTCCATTCAGACATCCCTGCCAGGGGAGCTCAGAGCCAGGGTGATCCAGCCTGAAGCTGTGCCTGCTGGCTGAGCTGTTTTTTCTCAATTGTTTGATGTGCTTCTCTAATAGATATTTATAAGCAGAAATAAATGGCAGTTAAAATTCTTCATCCCTCAAGCTCCTCATGTAATACTCAGATGAAAAGCACACAACTTTTAAAATACTTTGCAAATGCCAGATTATTTCCCATAACAACTCAGAAGCCTAAAAGTGAAATTCACTCTAAGGAGAAGTCCTCTGTTTTAAAAACCTGCAGCTTTCAGCAAATGAGAAAAGAGCCATCAGTGACAGGTCTGTGCTCTCAGGTCCTTCTGCACAGATGGGGTGACAGCACAGTAATGCTCTGCTCTAGACATCAGTGCCATGCATTCTTCCCCCTGCCCTTGCAGACAAGGCTCAGGTAGGGGCTCTTATGATCATATTCCTCACCACAGCTGGCTGGGAAATGTGGAGTAAGCTGGGAATAGAAGTTTCATTCTTATTTGCTTCCTGGCCCAAACTGTTTGCAAATGCTGAGCAGAATTAAACAGCTTGAGCTGCCTCTGTGCATTCCCAACGTGCTGGCACGTTCAGGGAAGAACTGGCAATGGAGCACCCTGGGATCCTTCTGCATGGAAGGAGCTGGGTCAGGTTTAGCTGCCATTGGAGCTGTGAAATGTTTGGTGTCATTTTGGCAGGGCCAGGATTCCATCCCCTCTTTGCAGCTAAGCTGCAGGGGTTTGCTTATCAAAGATTAGGGAATGCTGGAAATAAAATGTAAAGTTCTGATGCTGTTTTTAGAGTCTCCACACCACCAACTCCCTCTCCTTGAGATGATTTTTGATCCTTTTTGCTTACACTGCACTGGTTTTTATCGAGCCAAAGGGAGTTCATTTATTTTGTTTTCTCCATCTGTTTCACTGTAAAATGTTCCCATTAAAAGTTAGTGAATTGTCAGCTGCAAGTATCAAGACGATGCAATGAAGGACTGCAGTGCCTTAATTTCCAACGATTTATTTTTGAGTCTGTAAATTTAGTTGAAATTAAACTCACCATGAGGAGGAAAATGTTGAGGAAAAAGATGCATTTTAATGTAAGATGCTACACCTACTAAGTGTAAGAGACCAAAAGGCAAAACTAACTGCATGACATATTTTTGACTTGTTTCTTTTTTGTAATGAGTAATTTCAGAAAAAAATCCCATTCAGTTTCCTTTCAGGATTCATAGAGCAATTGGATCACAGCCTGGTATAAATTAATTAGATAACTTCATCCCTTCCCAGAGGACTCTTTGGGGTTAATTTCAAAACAAAGCCCCTGGCATCCTGTGGAATGGATTAATTGTATTCTCTTGTACCTGGAGAAGGTAAACCCCCCTTTTCCCCCTGGGCAGCTGTGTCCTCTCAGGTACCTTTTCTGTTTGCTTGGGGTTGCCTGTGGCGCTGGTGCGTTCGAAGGACTGCTCGGCCTCGTCCGCCTCCCTGCACTTCTGCTCGTAGCTCTTCTTGGACTGGTGCAAAGAGATCACACATCAGGCTCTCCCTGGGGCAGCAAGGCTGGATTCCCCCCAGAGGTGTTCCAGCCACTTCTTCCTCTGCAGTCTGGGGCAGCAAATCAGTGCCCAGGGTGGGCAATAGAAAAAAAATCCCAATGGCGCCGTAAGGAGGCAGAAAAATAGAACTGAAACATTGGAATGGGGCTGACAGCACAGATTGAATCCTTTTCCTGCAGCCCTGAAACTGTTTGCTTTGTACAACTGCAACTCCCTGCAGGGGTCAGGAGTGCACAGGCTGCTCTACCACCACTGGTGCCCCAGGTATCTGCCCAGGAGCCAAGGAGAGATGAATTTGGGATCCCACATTCCCGGGGTGCCTGTGGGGTGGGTTGTGAAGTGCTGCCTTGGCCATTGCTCCAAGCTGTGAGGCAGAGCCAGCACCCCACAGGCAACAGTCTTGGGGTAGTTCTCAGAAGCAGGAGAAATCTTTATTTGCACCAAACATCTCTGTATCTTAGAGATGCACTTAGAACCACCACATTTCCAAAAAAAAAAAAACATTAGTACACCTCCAGCTGTAGCACTGACAGGTCTGCAGCTACTTTCCTTTAGAGGCAGTTGCCCAATGGACACCAATCCCAGCTGCCTGTAGTTGCTGTACCTGCAAGCTTTCCAGATGGAGAGGGTTCCTCCTGCCTACAAGATTCCCCCACTGTTCTTAAAATTGTACTTACACACACTGAAAAATTATATTTACTCCTCTAAGCACCCTTGCCTAGAGAGAATGAAATCCTGTTTGACCTGGGGCACCATTCATCCTGCATTAACCTTCTGGAGACTTTTCAGTGGGTGCAGCAGGGAAGATCAGCTTCCTCCTCACAGCAGGAATGACACCTTCCCTCCCTCACACAGCCTTGCACACTCACACAGCTTTGACCTTTCTTTAAATAGAGGTACATGTGATACAGATTTTCCTGGAGCCAGTTTGCATCAGGAAAGCTGCCCAAGCCCTCCCTGCTTACCTCCATGGTTTTCTTATAATGGGACAGTTTGCTCTTCTGCATCCTCTCCATTGCAGACTCGTACTGTAAGAAACACACAGAGGTCAGCATTTCTTGCTTTGGACTTTTCCTCCCCTTTCCAGCAGCAGGATTAGGAGAACCACAGTCAGGGCCTTTCTATAGCCACCTCCCTGTGGGCAAAATTACTTCACTCTGCTTTTGTAAATGACTGGTTTCTAAGTGATACAGAGAGCATCAAAATGCCAGGTAAAAAAATAGTCCCAGATAATTCTGCTTCAGTGGTTTCCATTAATGGCAGAGAGGATGTAGATCTTCATTGTCTTCCTTGCTTTTTTGTTTGTTTGTTTGTTTTCTTAAGGAGATGAAATGCTGCAGCACCCAGTCACAGGGGGCTCTGCCAGCAGAGCTCCTTTGCTGCTGCCAGAGCTTGATCCCACATCTCTGCAGACCAAACCCCTGTCTCACCCACAGGAGCACAGGTAGTTGTCCATTTTCAATCCAAACAATTCCTGTCTCTTGTATATTCACTGCTTCTGGCACCTTTATGCTGAATGTGATTTGATTTCTGTGCTGGAGTCATTGGGGCAGGGTTGGGAGGACAGTGCTGGATTCTCTTCCATGGTTTTAGCTGGGAGATGCCCAGCTTTATGTGACAGTGAGATATGCTCCTACTGGCAGGGGATGGCTTTCTTCAGGGGGACTTTTGGTCCTGTAATCTTTACATTCTGCTCAGGCAAAACTCTCCCAGGGCTACCCAGATGCTTGTTTCACACTGGGCACAGTCCTGGGGCAGCTACGGTACAGCACAAATCACAGCATTTTGGGAGGCTACCAAAACTGCTGACACCATCCAGCATGTCTAATGCTGGCTTCCTCACATGCTGGACAGAGAAAAAAGCTTATCTAAGACTCCAAAGCAGTTTTTCCTTTTTTTTTTTTTTTTTCCCCCAGGCCCCTCTGTCTGTTCCCAGTTGAGTTACAGGCTTACAGCTGTCAGCAGGACAGAGCCTCTCTGCACATCCCAGTGGCAAAGGGAATGGGGAACAAACACTGATGAACCTGGTGCCCACTGTCTTTTAATGCCTCATTTAGTTCATCAGATCACTGTCAACCTCAGATCTCAGTAGCAGCACTGGTTCACCCACTTTCATATTCAGAATTCTTTGCTATTCCAAGTTCCTGTGTGTCAGGGGCTTGTAGACACACGATTTTTGTGGCACTGGGTACTGGTAATATGCATTTTCACCTGTTTAAAATTAGCAAAGAAAGGAATATTTATTTTGCTCCTCCATCACTCCATGCTGTCAGAGTGAAGGGATGGTCCTGTCTTTGTCTTCAACCCCACAGACCCAGCGAAGGTGTGAGAGTGGTCCCTGCTCTCTCTATTGAGAGCTATTTTTCAATAGACTTAGGGCTTGATGAGGTCAAAGGGGATGAAATGGCCATAAATATACTCAATTTTTTTTTATTATATAACATCAACTAGATGCTACTTATTCCATGTATTTGCAATTCAGCATATATTGCTGTTGCATCCAGCATGACATTAATTTGCTTTCATGTTTTTAAACATTTGTGTTACGCCTTTAGCTCGTGTTGGAGATTGTGCAGGGTCATATCAAAGAAAAACATCAGCAAGGGTATAAAAAAGAGAAAAGGAAGGATTAAGTTCTTACAGAAATAATAACAACAGCATCTGCAGTTACACCAGAGAGAGTAAAAGGGACTAAAGCCTCTGGCTCCTGAGTTCAGAGCATTACTTTATTTCCAGCTGGGATCAGAAGGAGATTTTTGTTCCACAGTTAGTCTATAGAGGGAGCAGGGCATGCTGGTAATGCTTTATGATCTTTTGCACAACTCCCAGCCTATGGCTAGAGACAGGTCATCAGCACAGCCCACTGACCCAATCTCTTTCAACATTTCTCTACTTTCTCACCTTTTTTCTTTGCTCCTTCTGCCTTTCTCGGAACTCCTCTATTCCTTTCAGTTCTTCCTTCAGCATTACTGCCAGCTGGATGTGAGAGTTTCCAACATTTTCAATCTCTAAAGCAAATCAGAATTCATATTCAGTCAGTGGGAAAGTCTTTAAAGATAAAGTCACATTTTTTAGGAGATGTTTCTGTGATGTGACTGCTGTATGAGTTGTCACAAGCACGGCAGCCTTAAAAAAGGTTTTTGTGTTTCTGCATGCCCTGACATCGCTGAGGGCTCAAGAACAGAGTGAGTTTCTTCATGGCCCCATTTACCCCAGCTGCCCCCCTTCTTTGGGACTGAGGGTCAGGGGTTGTGGTGCAGAGGGAGGGAAGGAGCTCTGGCCTCCATCCTCCCTGGGTGTGCTGCTGGGCTGTCCCTGCTCTTGGGAGCTGCTGCCAGCAGTGGCCAATCATTAGATGGTTGCATGCTGAGAATTTCCAAGGATTAGCCAAGATGGATTGAATTTCAGAGCACCTGACTGGTGCTGTTTGAAATGGCTGGGAACTGCTCTGCATTTCTCAGCTTCAGTGCCTCTGAAATGGAACCCTGCATTTTCCAGAAATGCTGAACTCCCCCACCCAGGCCCTAAAAATATCTCAGTCCAGCAGCTGCTTTTCAAGAGGGACTTTTGGTGTAAACAGCAGGTGCCAGTGACCAGGTACAGTGTCCTATTGGCTCTCATGGTGCTGCATTTTGTGTGAAAGGGTTTCATTGAGCCTTGGGCACATTTAGGAAGCTGGTTTGGTGTCAGTGGTTTGCAGAAGAGGGGACAGAGTTCCTATCTTGTGACTGGATCCAGATAAAATTTACATGATGAACAAGCCATTTTCTTTGCTACCAGATTGAGTAGGCACCCTTTTCCTCCCCTTTGCACCACAGCTTGTGAAAGAAAAGCTGGGAATGGTGTGGGGAACAGGATGGACACATTGGGTGCCTGTGTTTCCCAGGTCAGAAGGGAACAGGGAAATACTTACGTTGCTTGAGCATCTCAAACGCTTCCTTCAGTGTGCTGTGGGGCAGAAACAAGACACTGTATTAGTACTGGCTTCTAAGGGTGGATTGGGAATCCAGGGAAAAAGGTTTCCCTCAGAACCTCAAAGATCCACATAGAGATAAAACCCGTAATGGCCTCGTAATAAAAGCTGACCATGCTAACAAGCACAATAGCATCAGTCTGCTACCATCAGGAAACGCAATAAAATGCTCCATGAAGCAGGGAATTGCACCTCTCCTTCTGTGCACCCTCTTCCTCAGTCATACTCTGTGGCCGTGAATGTTTACAACAAAGAGAGAATGTTTTCTCTCTTTGCACCTCGCAGGTAGATACGAATGAAGCGCCGGGGGGAATGGGGGTTTTTGGAGCAGTAACCTGAAGGGTGCAGCGACCCCTGAAAGGTGAAGTAGCCTGAAGGGTGGAGCGCTGCGTGCGGCCCCATTCCCGTCCTCGGTGCCCGGTCCTGCGCCGCAGCAGCGTCCGCAGCGCGTCTGCCGAGCACCCCCGTGCGGCACCGCTGCTGCTTCCCATCCCTGCCCTGTGCACGGCTCCTGCTTCCCATCCATCCCCTGTGCATCGCTCCTGCTTCCCATCCCTGCCCTGTGCACCGCTCTGCTTCCCATCCCTGCCCTGTGCACCGCTGCTGCTTCCTATCCCTGCCCTGTGCATCGCTGCTGCTTCCCATCCCTGCCCTGTGCACAGCTCCTGCTTCCCATCCATCCCCTGTGCATCGCTCCTGCTTCCCATCCCTGCCCTGTGCACGGCTCCTGCTTCCCATCCCTGCCCTGTGCACGGCTCCTGCTTCCCATCCCTGCCCTGTGCACCGCTCCTCCTTCCCATCCCTGCCCTGTGCACCGCTCCTGCTTCCCATCCCTGCCCTGTGCACCGCTCCTGCTTCCCATCCCTGCCCTGTGCACGGCTCCTGCTTCCCATCCATCCCCTGTGCATCGCTCCTGCTTCCCATCCCTGCTCTGTGCACCGCTCTGCTTCCCATCCCTGCCCTGTGCACCGCTCCTGCTTCCCATCCCTGCCCTGTGCACAGCTCCTGCTTCCCATCCCTGCCCTGTGCACGGCTCCTGCTTCCCATCCCTGCCCTGTGCACGGAGCTGCGGGATGCAGCCACACTGCCCCAGGACGGGGACACTGCAGGATGCAGCCACACGGCTCCAGGATGGGGACACTGTGGGATGCAGCCACACTGCCCCAGGACGGGGACACTGCAGGATGCAGCCACACTGCCCCAGGACAGGGACACTGCAGGATGCAGCCACACGGCCCCAGGACAGGGACACTGTGGGATGCAGCCACACTGCCCCAGCACAGGGACACTGCGGGATGCAGCCACACTGCCCCAGGACGGGGACACTGCGGGATGCAGCCACACTGCCCCAGGACAGGGACACTGCGGGATGCAGCCACACTGCCCTGGGACAGGGACACTGTGGGATGCAGCCACACTGCCCCAGGATGGGGACACGAGAGGCAGCCCCAGACCGATGTCCTGCCTGTGGCCAGCGCAGATGCAGCTCTAGAGGCACCAGAGGTACCGGCACAGATGCAATGAGAGGGCACAAGGTGTGTGAGAGGCTTTTCCCACTGAATAGATTCCTCCAGCTCTGAATGTGCAGGCTGGCAGGGCCTTTGCATACACAGCAGCCAGGGCTGGGTGTGACTTGGAAGATTTTCAGATCTGGAAATGATCTCCTCAAGGCCCAGAGTTGTTCCTGGAAGGAATCAGTGCTGGGCTCTCTATGGAGCCCCGGTGTGCCTCAGGCAGAGCCCAGGGAAGAGCTGGTGAATGAAGAGCCCCAAATCTCCCCAAATCTCTGTACTTGGAGAGCCCAGGAGAGGCTGCTATCAGTTCCCAGCCACGTGCACCCACAGCTGGGCAGGGAAATCTGCATCTCCTGGGCCATCCTGGGAGCCCTACAGGCACACAAGGATCCTAATTGCCCTGTGTTAATTGTGGCTGGACATCTGTTTGCTGATCAAACATTCTCCCAGCAGGGAGGCTGCCTTGCCAGGAATAAGAAAAATGCACAAATGAGGGGAAAGGTTGGGCCTGTCCTCAGCAAAAACTGCCAGGAAACCCATTCCAGATTTAAGTTTGTAGAAATATAAGGAAGACTTTCAGACAGAAAAGAAGAGCTGCTTGATTTTTTTTATCATGTTTCAATTAGATTGTGGTGAATCTCCTGAGATAAGCCAGGGAGAACATTCTGTTTTGAATATTTTTAAATGGTTTCCTAACAATACTTATACATTTGAAGTTTGCTTTGTAAAATTTAGTCTGGTGTGAAATTTTGATGGAAACTAAATTTTCACACCATAAAGGAAACAAGCAGCATTAGTTTCAGCTAATTAAAAGCTTGGCAGTAAAAGACAAGCTGAATATCAGCAGCAGAGATAACTTTTCCTAATGGATTATTTTGAAAAAATAAATATATACAAGGAATAAAATCTTTTCCAGTCACTAATTTCCAATAGGAGGTGAGGAATGTAGTAACAACTTCATGCCTGAAACAGTTAAATACTGGAATTTAAAAAAACCAGAGGGCAGTTGCAAATTGGACATACTGTTTGCATTCTGTGTTGATTTCTCAGAGATTTTTTTTCCCTTTGTTCTTGGTGATTCAAGTTATGCAAAAACTGACAGAATTGCTGTAGTAGATAATGAAAAATAGCACTTTCTCAGTTTTTATCAAGGACAAAGGCAATTTGCTGCTTTTTTGGTTTCCAGGCCCCTGAGCTCCCAGAGCAGTTCATGGCCACAAGGCAGCCATGGAGCTTTCTCCTTTTGCTGGCTCTCTGTAAGGCCAGGGGTCTCTGGTGCAATAATGCACCTGGCTGTGACCCAAAGAGGGATCCATTTCTCTCCTGCATGGTCTCTAATGGCCTTTTCAGAAATCTCTGGCCTTTTCTTCCTTGTGTGAAGGATTTGTCCAGCCAATTCCATAGCTGCTGACTGCTGCAAGTAGGTTGAAATAGACTTCAGCCATTTTCTTCCTTATTTTTATAATAATTTTCTAAAATCAGTTAATTGGATCCTTACAGGGCTTAAAGGGCCAGCAAATATGTCATCATGCCAAATTATACACTTGGGTGAGAATAAATCAATCAAATTTTGACCTGTGGATCCATCAGGACTCCCTTTATGTCTCCTGGGCTGCAGCAGCAGTGCTGTAGATTTGCTCCTGGATGTTCTGATTATATCAGTGAAATATTTCAGTGCCTCACAGGGTTTAATGGAAGTGACTCCTGTGGCTGATCTATGAATGAGTTTTAATTCTGTCTGTGCTGGTGTGGATGTACAGCACCTCTTACTGATTGCTTCTGGGTGGGTTTGGCTTTCTAGTGGGACTGATATGGGCTTTACTCTGAGGCATCCAAAGTGAGGACATCTCACTCTCCTGGACACTCTGAAAGTCTTTCACCCTCAGTAGATGCTGCTGCTTAGCATTCTGGTGCTAATTGATTTTTTGGGGTTTGTCCTGTGGCTAAATTAGAAAACCTAGGGTTGAAAACAATTCAAGCACCACTGAAAATTTGATTTTTGATTTTTTTTTTTTTAAAGTTGTTCACTTCTGAGATTTTCACATACATTCTGGAAGACTGTTAAATAAACCACTCTGGCTAAAGCCAGAGCTTCAGCCTTCCCTTTGGGCACCCCCACGTGGAGAATCCCGCAGGTGTCTCCTTGAAAATAAGGCTGCACACAAATTCACTCTGTGTGTTTGTTAAACGACTCCCTGTTGTACATTTAAAGATTGGATTTGTCAAAATTAATTCCGGAGGAAGCAGGAGTGCCTGACTGGAGAGGGAGGGAGCAGGCAGAGCCCGTGCAGCAGCCTGGGGGGGGTTTGCCATCTAGTGGCTGCGATGTTCTTACAATGTTCTCAGTCTTGCTTTGGCTTGTTGTGCTTGTTGTGCTTTGTTTGTGGACCTTGTTTAGGCTGAAACACTGAGCTGTGCTGGGCAGTCCTCTGTGCCACGGGGACCATCAGGAATTACTCCCATCTGCTTCCCAGCCATCCAAAGCAGAGTTTTGTTTCACCTGAGTGTAATCAGCAGAGCCCCGTTACTGGCAGGGCTTGGGGGACAGCTCTTCTCACCAAGTACACTCCTGCACCACACTGTTTCATCTGTTTCAATTTTTTCAGCCTTAAGCTTGATAGTTTGGGCATTTTTTCCCCAGTACTTTGCCTTTAGACCCTGGGTTCACTGAGTCATTTAGAGAGTCCCTTTCTATCTTGCACACAGGAAGGTAAAACAGGTTCTTCTAACCGGAAAACCACAGATGCTTTTTCATTTTCTTTCTTTGCTACCTTTGCTTGGTGAAATAACCCCACCTTCCTTTCTGGGAGGTTTCTATTTTGACATTGGTACAATCTATAACGTTCAGTTGTTCTTGCAATTTTCAAAAATACCTTTAATGAAACTGAGAGGAGTCTGTGCCAGATGAGCTCTACAGAGAGCTCCCAGCAGTGCTGTCCCCCCTCAGCCCCAGGAACGTGGAGCCCAACAGCAGAGCTGTGACACCCAGCAGTGACAGTCCCCTCTGAGGCCACCCTCAACATCTGCCTTTCCTCCTGGCACACAGGGAACACCCAAAAATTGTTGTTTTACCAACAATTCCTTCTGTGAAGCCCCATGGGGGTAGCAAAGTGTGGGGAGATGCATCTGAAATCATCTGCTCTCAACTCATTCCCACCTGGGGCTGTGTCTGCACTGCAGAACAGAAATGAAGGGGAGGAGTTGTGCTCTTTGCTCTTTAGGAGGTTCCTGAGCACAGCCCAGTCCCAGGCCAGGCTCACAGCACTGTCAGACCTTTTTTAGTGGGCACAAGGCAAAACCACTGAAGAATGAATTTTGCCAGTGCGTTTTCTTGTTCTCAGAGGAGCTCTGAACAGAAAGGCAGCAGCCCTGGGTGCAGCTGGAAGGGCTGGTGTCAGCTCCCTGACAGCTGGGCTGTGATGTGGAGCCACAGGAGCTGTTCTCAGCTGCTCAGAGGCTGC